AGGTCCTGAGGGCGAAAGTGAAAATGCCTCAGGGCCAAAACTGAAAATCGAAAGTCTGAGAGTGGGCGCCAGAATACGGATGGTACCAAGTGTCCGGAATCCGAAAGTCGAAAAGGAGGAATTTGAAAACGGGCGTCAGGATGCGGATGGCGCCAACTGTCCAAAATCGGAAAAGCAAAAACGAAGAAAAACAAAACAAGAAAATTACCAAAAAAAAAAAAAAGACAAGCTGGCGGGTGGTAGTCTGCAGACCAGGGATCGAGCCCTGGCGTAGTCTGTAACACATACCCCATTTAAAATCGCATGTTCGACCAAGCCCGCTCCTTCAGTAGGCTGGTGTAACAGATACACTTTACGCAAGATCTGCATAAGGCGCCACCTGGTGTAACAGATACACTTTACGCAAGATCTGCATAAGGCGCCACCGCACATGTTGGACTTCCTCCATCTTGCCCCCCTACCTCCTCCCTCCCTGTATAGGTTCACGCCTTTCAGCTCGTCTTCCACTGGTCGTCTCTTCTCCTGCGCTTACCGAAAGTAACCTTGACCGAGTGCTCGTCTGAAGATTTCCTCGCTTCCCGCGAATTCGACCGGGCGTCTGCTCAGCAGGAGCTCTGGAGCTGCTCCTTTCTCCTCTCGTGTAGATCACCCACCATTGAACCCCCCCTTGACGTATTTCTCCTCCTAGAACCCAGCTCTCTTTCAACCCCTTCCTGGCCAGCCTTCCTTCCGCCGTCTATTTCCTCCTCCTACCGCTCCTCCTGTCTTTCTTTCCCGAGACCCCCCCCCCAGTGGTGAAACCCAGTCTCATTCGCCCCAGTCAGTCCCTTCAAAGCCTCAAGTCCCTTCCTCAAACAGCAGGAGGAGCGTCATCAGTCAGGTGAGACGGCCTCCATAGCTGTCGACAAAGATAGCCAACTCCCGTTGACGTCTCCCATAGCGGGTCAACGCGTAGACCTGTTCAGAAAAGAGCATGGAGATCGTGCGGCGCTTCGGCGCGCCGTTAAACATCTACCCATGACCCAAAGACCTAAACTAGCGCAGAAATTAGCGCAAAACTTCTTATCGGTACTAGTGGTTTAACTCAGAGTTTCCTGAAATGGAATTTAACTTCGAGCATGGAGATTGCGCGGCGCTTGGGCGCGCCGTCAAACATCTACCCGAGTGTTAAATTCCTGAAATGGAATTTAACTTCGAGCATGGAGAACCCAGCTCTCTTTGAACCCCTGTCCTGGCCGGCCTTCCTTCCACCGTTTATTTCCTCCACCTACCTCTCCTCCTGTCTTTCTTTCCCGAGGTGCCCCCCCCCCCTGTGGTGAAACCCAGTCTCATTCGCCCCAGTCAGTCCCTTCAAAGCCTCAAGCCCCTTCCTCCAGCAGCAGGAGGAGCGTCATCAGTCAGCCGAGACAGCCTCCATAGCTGTCGACAAAGATAGCCGACTCCCGTTGACGTCTCCCATAGCGGGTCAACGCGTAGACCCGGTCGGAAAAGAGTATGGAGATCATGCGGGGCTTCAGCGTGCCATCAAACATCTACCCGTGACCCAAAGGCCTAAACTAGCGCAGAAAGTAGCGCAAAACTGCTTATCGGTACTAGTGGTTTAACACATTGAGTTTCCTGAAATGGAATTCAACTTCAAAGCTGCTTCCGGAGTGGGTGGTACATGGACACCTACCACAGGAAAGGTTTGGGAAGGTGGCCAACAAGTAGCTGATAATCAGCTAATTGACCATACCCCATTGATAGACTGTAGGCTAGGAAAATAAAATTGGGAGCCTGCGGACCTCCAATTTTTCCTTCAGTGGCCGAGAAGGCGACTTGAATGGGCTGCAGACGCAAGGAATCAAAGTGGCTGCAAACTGGCCCGTCCTGGTTTTGCAAACTTTGGCCCAGTGGCCTGCTCGGCAGGCCAGGCCGGTCTCGTGCTGGCATTGGGCACCCAGGTGGCACGATAAGGAGCCCAAATTGCTGCAAACTGCCCTGTCCTGATAATCAGCTAAGTGACGGTACCCTATTGATACACTGTAGGCTAGGAAAATCAAATTGGGAGCCTGCTGTCCTCCATTTTTCTTTTTCAGTGACCGGGAAGGCGACTTGATTGGGCTGCAGACACAAGGGGTCAAAACTGCTGGAAACTGGCCCATACTGTTTTTGCGAACTTTGGCCCAGTGGCCGGCTCAGAAGGCAGGGCCGGTCTTGTGCTGGTATTGGGCGCCCGGGTGGCCCGGTAAGCAGCCCAAACTGCTGCAAACTGGCCGGTCCTGATTTTGCGAACTATGGTCCAGTGGGCTACCTGGAAGGCCGGTAGGCAGCTCAGTGTAGATCCTGACTTCAGTTTGGCAAAAGCTGCCTAGCCTGCTTTCCAGTGCGCGAACTTGAATTCAAAGCGCAGGGGTTCAAAGTGGACCTCACTGTTGGGATCATGATCAGTCCCCACTGGCCGAAGGAAGGAGGTATGTATGCTCCTCCTCCTCCTCCTCCTCCTCTTCTTCTTCTTCGTCTTCTTCTTCTTCTTCTTCTTCTTCTTCTTCGTCTTCGTCGTCTTCGTCGTCTTCGTCTTCGTCTTCTTCTTCTTCTTCTTCTTCTTCTTCTTCTTCTTCTTCTTCTTCTTGTCTTCTTCTTCTTCTTCTTCTTCTTCTTCTTCTTCTTCTTCTTCTTCTTCTTCTTCTTCTTCTTCTTCTTCTTCTTGCTGACGCCCGATCTGCCTATCCCGACGTTCATCTGCGGATGGATTTGGGCACATCTCAGTGAGCCAGTTCAAAGGAAAAACACTGACCCTCAACCGTGTAATCCATACGCTCCGACTGCCTATCCTGAGTGCAAAAAAGCCCCACCTGCCAGTTCAAAGAAAAAACAAACTCTGACTTCTTCACTTTGGTGACCTGAGCATGTGGCTTCTGGTCACCTGGGCCATGCTGTCTGGCTGGGCAGCTGCTCTCACGAGTTGCTCAGGTGCTACGTAGATACAGAGCACGTTCTGAGAATCTTTGTGATATCTGCAAATGGAGAGAGAGCTCTGTGCTGCGGCTGCTGCCCATGTTGGGGTCAGGCCTGGTAGCTGTCATGCAAAAGTGCTATGGTCTGGGCTTCCGGACGGGCATTGGCATTGTCTGGTGACTGGTGCATGGATGCCAAACATTCCTAATGAACAAATGAACCAAATTCAAAATTCGTGTTATTTTCAATTTTGAAATATCAGGAAATAGTTAGTCTTTTAAAGAAACTTCGTTTTTTCCAACATTTTCTTTTTTAATGAACTGACAAGAGGAGAGCATAATTTCTCACGCCCCTTCGTATGGAGTCTATGGACCAGATCTGGACAGTAAGATGCTGGCATATGGACCAGGTCCTAGTGTCCAGGTGCATACAGTGGCTGTGCTCCCTCTAAGTACCATATGACTGAGCTCTCTAAGTAGAATATGACCTTGTACGTGACCTGCGGTGGAAGCTTTGTTGCAGATGTTGCGTCGTGGCCACTCCCAGCCTCAAACTCCATCTCATCCTGAATCCCCTTCCCAGTCCCAGATGGCGAGGCGCAAGGTGGGCAGTCCAGCTGCTCGATCCCAACGTGGGGAGTTGACTCCACGAGGGAACATGCCCCAAACTGACCTTATCTCCGCCCAATTTCATGCTTTCTAAGCACAACCATAGCACCAGGTCTGGCCCCCTGAGGATGGGGTCTTTCAGCTTACTTGTTCCAGCTTACGTTGGCCATCGGCTCACCGCAAAATTCTCTTATTCACAGTTGAAAACAAACAGTTGATGAACGTGTGGTTAATGCAGCCTTGTGGCTGAATTGTACATTACATCCATGAGTTCCAAATCCTGATGGATATAACAATGTTAGGGGCTAACCCCTTCTTATTTGCACGTGTGAATTCACTAAACAGTGCGGTGGCAGGTTCAGACTTAAATCACCGTTAGAGTCGTCAATGAGAGGTGAAGATTTCATCACTGTTAGATGTTAGATAGATGATCAGGAATAGGATTTTTGTATGTCACGGGTAATCAGTAAGTGAAATGAGATTCGGCACAGGATTAGGCAGCTGGGCTGGTAAATGAGATTCAGCACAGGATTAGGCAGTTGGGCTGGTAAAGGCTGACAATTTGGATCATGCATGCCAGTTGCTGAGCCACTCTGAGGCAGAGACACAGCTGCCCAGGCTTTGTATAGGGCTTTCCTTCTGAGAAGAAATAGAAGACATATCTCTTGTATTCCATTTTGCCACTAGGAGAGCGGTCAATCGAGGCATGGACACTGTGATCAGCAGATGTTCCTGTCATCCATCCCCTACATCGATGTGAGTGCAGTGCTCTTCTGACAGGCATCAGCGCAGGAGCATTAGCAAGTGAGAGTGTAAGACTCTGTTCAGGATTACCATAGACATCCATGCAGAGGTGGAAGATCTCTATCTTCTCAGAATGGGCCGGGAAATGTGTGTGGGTGGGACATTTTAAAGAAGTTGTTTGTGATTCTGTTCCATACGTTCAGAACTCGGCTCTGGATTATGATGATGTACATGTAGCACAGCATCCTCAGCCCGTTATCAGTTTTGTCAACTCTTTTGAGCAGCTAGGAAACGGTTTATGGCTGTGACAAGTGGATTACATGGGGAGGAAAGAAAAGGAGGAAAACATAATTCCGATAAGCTGGCGGTTCAGTAGTACTCATGTGATGAATACATGTGTAGCTTGACAGCTGCAAAGTCTGCAATAGCAACTGTGAAGTCTGCAATAGTGCTAGCTAAGGTTTACAATCAATCCCTCCAGTGCTTATAGCTGAACTGCCAAACTGCTTGTGACTTTGATGATAGATGGCGTTCAATGCCATCCATAGAATAAAATATGTTGTTACCTTCAATGGTTATTGATCAATCGCCAGACTTGTTGGGACTTTGATGATAGAATGTGTCGTAAGAAATATGCTGCACGATAATGCTTACCAGTCGATCATGCTGGCTTTGATGATATAAAGTACTCATAAAATATGTCGAGCGGTAGAATTTGCTTCTTAACAATAAATTCTTATTTTATTATGGATGGTGGATACCTCTGGGTATGGTTGGTGTGATCGTTATTTATCCGACAGAGGGGACTGCTCAGGGGCTTTCCATTGTGAACCCTGACGGAAGTTTGTCAACGATTGTACCTGCTGCGGATGTCCCAACTGGAGGTGCTGTTGCTGGTGCAGCTGGACAGAACTACATGCCTCTTGCATTCTTCCCTATGCAGCCTGGTGCCTATTCCCAGTACCCGGCTTACCCTCCACTGGTAGGGCCTGGGACAAGTCCACCGATACCATTCCCGTTTCTCCTGTGCCCTGTGCTATCTCCTCAAGGAGCAGCCTATGTTACAGGTCAGTCCTTTTGGCTATCCCACCACTGTCAGCCTCTTACCTCGCGTGGAGTTGTATTTATCGTAGCTATGTATCAGTTGCGTGTGGCTGCGATCATTTCTGAGAGAAAATAGACGATAGCCTTTCTGCAAGTGAATAGCTCTGGCTCTCTCACCTGATTTCGACCTAACCTGTACTGAGTGCACTCATATTGATGGTAGTCTGTACCGTCCACGTGTGGATGAAAACATCTCTGGGAGAAAAGAGAGAATATCCTTGTGTGAGTGAATGGAGAGAGAATACCCATTCAGTGTGTGTGTGAGAGAGAGAGAGAGAGAGAGAGAGAGAGAGAGAGAGAGAGAGAGAGAGAGAGAGAGAGAGAGAGAGAGAGAGAGAGAGCATTTTATGGGTGAATGCTGAATATATCCACATTGTACCTGATATGAACTAACCTGCTTTCATGTTGATGGTAGCCATGTATTCTTGTGTGTGCGAGCAATTTTGAGAGAACAGAGAGGATACCCTCTCTGTGACTGAATAGCTATGCCCGCCTCATACCTGATCCTGACCTGCCTTCATATTCATGGTAGGCATGTATCATTTGCGTGTGGATGCAAGGATCTCTAAGCAAAGGAGGGTATACTTCCTGCAAGTGAATAGACATAGTAGTTTAATATTTCGCTGTGCAAGATAACAGAGAGCAGAACTCGTTTCAGAGGAACGGTCCACCAACCTCATTTCCTTCTATGTACTGCCTTGTGTTTTAAGGTCATCACATGCTATTGCATGGAGCAGCCACTAATGTAGCGGGTTAGCCTTTTTCAGTTGCCTTTCCACTTTCCTCTTCTTGCCAGTTCATCACATGCTATTGCATGAAGCAGCCGCTAATGTAACAGGTTAGCCTTTTCAGTTGTCATCCCACTTCCCTCTTCTTGCCTGACTGAACAAGGGTTTATCCTACATGAGTGACATCTTTCTGACTGTGACCTTCCATTCACAGGACCCTGTGTGTGACTTGCTGCAGACAATGTCTGTGACAGTCAAGAGATTCTTTGGGCGCTTGTTGGCAAATCTCACAAAGAAGCAATTGTAATGCTCTCTGCCTTATCCATTTCCCTACCTTGTCTCATTGAGGTTAGCTTTTTCTCCAGAGTCAGATAAAAGCTTCTGTTAGTTTCAGTGGGAGCAACCATATAGGTTCTTCCAGGCCAGGCAAACGGACAGGACATGAAGAGTGGTGATGTCTACGGACTCTGTTAAGCAGCGTGAAGGACTGGAAATCCTGATTCTGCGCTTTTGGACGTCTTGTGGAAACTTGGAAAATTGCAGTGCCATACACTGTGGCGCCCAGTGATGGGCCAGCAAGCCCAGTTGTGACTGGCCCATCTCCCATATCGCCAGCCGCGAGAAACAACCCAGATATGGAAGCTTTGTTGCAGACGTTGCGTCGTGGCCACTCCCAGCCTCAAACTCCATCTCATCCTGAATCCCCTTCCCAGTCCCAGATGGCGAGGCGCAAGGTGGGCAGTCCAGCTGCTCGATCCCAACGTGGGGAGTTGACTCCACGAGGGAACATGAGCGGAAACAATTCTCGAGGCACTCCTCAGGCAAGCCCGTGGCCGAGCACCTCTACTGAACGGGTTCATGTGTCTGATAGCTCCCCAACAACTACAGCTTCAGAAGGGGCATGGACAGGTGATCGGTCAGATGGTGAAGAGATTTCTAGAGCCCCCATTGTTCATCTGCCCCAGAAGGCAAAAGGATCAGCAAGTGCAGTCACTCCCAGGGAACACCAGATTCGCCATGACACAGGGGATGGGAGGAGTGGCCATGAGGTGTGCTTACATACTGCCGAACGGTCCCGACCACAGAGTGTGTTGCCAGCTGGGCAGGAGTCATCACCTGATTCAGTTGCAGGTGTGGTGCCAGTAGAGCCTGGTAGGCTAACAACTCTTTCGGATTCAGAATCAGCTATTTCCACTGCTGAATCCTTGAAAGAAACTTCGGCAGAGGAGGCATCCACAGGTGAGTGGGTAGTGGATGGAAGCACGATGGCTGTCTCTTATGCTGTTTTGTTTTTTCTTTGTGTTGCTGATAGTCTGCTTTTGTATGTGTAATGACCAGCTTTGCACCGGCACAAGATGCAATAGGCTTTGCACCAGCATGTGTAAGAATACTACACTAACACAAGAGGTGACTTTAAATTAATGAAGGACATTGTCGGTGAGAAAGTTGGTTAGCCACAGTCATGTAGTACTGCTGGAAGTACTGTGAACATTTGTGAAATAATGTGAATGGCTCAAGGGCACATTGAGTTTCTGAGTGATGTCTGAATTGTTCTCATATGGTGTCGGTTCACATCTCACGCGTGGAGCTTTTGTGTGATGAAGTGTCAATTCGTGATGTTGTGAGAGCTAGTTTGAAACCGTGGGAACATTGCACAATCCAAAACAGTAAACAGGCTTTAGAAACCAGGTGCACCTACAACACAGTGTGTTTTGTTTTGTTAGTTTATAATAACTTCATATGGAGTATTATGGACCATTTTTCAGTGCGTATAGTTTCTCAAAAGTAGCTTTTCACGGCTGCTCAAAAGGAAAATAGTAAAAATACTCTTGGATTTTCTGTGCACCAAACTCATGCTAACGACTTGGAATGAGAAGCAGTAGTTCACTCCAACTAGGTTTCGTTAATGACACTGGATGGTAAGGTGTCTATGGCCGCCAGTAACTTCAAACAGGACTCTCTCTCTCTCTCTCTCTCTCTCTCTCTCTCTCTCTCTCTCTCTCTCTCTCTCTCTCTCTCCTTCCCGCCTCTCCCCCCCCCAAAGCTATGGTGCCGGGCGCCATCGACCACCAACCACTTCCAGCGTCACTGGATTCTTGACCGCACAAGACCACAGCGGCGCTTCCGCAACAGACTCAATTTCCAATTGTGCTCATGCTCTGCTGCCGTTGGACTTCTGTACGTTGCTGCAGTTCCCAATCATCAACTTTTCCAGACCGGTTCCCCAGCTTGTCGGTCGCGGTCTGCTTTTGACGCATCCAGAGTTTTCAAGGACTTTCCTAGGACTCAGCTGTGACTGGACTGATGGTCTGACTCGACTGGACTCTGTACCAGGGTGGGTCTACCTACTGGAGCTACCGTACGGACAAGGGCTTCGAGACCTAGTGGGTCTACTGGGCATACGAGACCTAACGGGCTCTACTGTAGTGACATGCTTACGAGACCTACCAGATGATGATGGGACTATGGTACATGGGACTCTTTTGGAACGGGGTGCGAGACTTGGACAACCATTAATATCAACGGCCGCTCGCCCTTGCCCTCAAGGCATTGATGACTCAGCAACTCACAGTACAATGCAACATGAGGCACTGACCGGTCCTGAGCACAGTAGTTGACAACCATTTGAACGTCCTCTTTTTTTTCCCTTCTCTTTTTCACCATCCTTGTGCCGAATAAGAACGTCCTTCTCCTCCTCCCTACTGCTCTGAATGTCACCTCCCTCTGATCTTTTCAGACTACTTCTTAAGCCCAACAGTACACGATCCTCATAGCAAGAAGGATCCGTGGGTCTCTTGATGTTCAGAAGCTGTAACTCACAAGGATCTCATCGGTTTGTGAAAACTCTGAAGTATTGTGGCAGAACAACTGGGACAAACAAGAGTCTCTCAGTCTCGCCAATGAAGTACATTACATGACCATGCTATGTAACTGCTTGAGAACGCAATCCAGCAGAGCATCACCATGTTCCCATAAACACACAGTGATGACAAAGCAGATTAGGAGAGGGATTCACACCACACCAAACAGAGATATGCATAGTGGAAGTCCAGTAACCAAGAAGAATCGAGTAGAGTCAATTCCAAAGTCCCTAGTCACTCTCCAGCTCAATCAGGACCACAAAAGAAACCAAGTATCACAACCGAGAGCAAACCACCTTGAATAAACTTGGAACCGAGATTCATCGAGTCTCCGGAGTCTTGCTCCTCCCTCCAGCACCACCTCCATAGCCGGCTATGGCGCACAGCCCAATTTCTCAGCACCTTGCCTCACTACTCTGCAGACCACCCAGCTCCTCCACTCTCCTGTCTCAGCATCACCAACTATGTCCAGAACTCCCTCCAATGCTCCGACACTAAGCCAGAGACCTCTCAGAACAACCACCAGCAGCACCAGGATGAAGAAGGAACCTCCAGCTTGAAGAAGAAGAAAACAGCTGCCACGAAGAAAACGATATGGGAGCGCCTAACCCCCAGCACAGATATGCTGTAGCCAGGCTCAGCAGATGAAGCACTTGTTTGACTGCTGCCTGAAACCATAGCAGCGGCATCCCAGCCACAGCACTTCTCCAGCAGCCTGGCAAACAAGTGCACTAAACAACTGCTCCACTAAGGAGCCCTAACCCCACGGAGTGTATTTATATTTCTACTCTCACCTTCTGGACTCGCCTAGGACCTAAAACCAACAAGCAGTTATGGATCTGTATTTTCCAGTAACAACAGTGCCAGTTTGGGGCAAAGGTAACCAACTAACGGTTATGGGTCTTCCTTCTCAGACACATGGTTTGAGGCAGAAGTAAAGCAACAGTCTTTTGAGGCCTGAAACGAGGGCCAGGCCCAGTGATCCCGGTTTGCAGAAGTGTCCCTGTCGGTTTAGGGCTGTTTCTTTTCCTTTCTTTTACTTCCTTTTTCTTTTTTTCCTTCCTTTTTTTCCTTGTGCAGGGGCCATGCTAATCTTCCAATTTTAAAGGATGTCCCGAGGTGCAATCAGACTCGCTTTCTTTCACACTTCACATGCATGTAAACAGGTAGCGCAGCAAACTGGCGACAAGCGCCCACTCAGAACTTAGAGATATGGTAACCAAGAACACAGTTAAGATACAAGCTCACTTCAGATGGCTATGGCGCATCAGCGCCTGTACAACCCTTTGTTCGTCACTGTACTCAACTCTGCTGTTCACACACACTCAACTCAAGATCACCCTGGATATCCCACACGCGACACACTGTACACACACACACACACACGCTACACTCTTCTCCCAGCTATGGCGGCAATGGCCGCTACTACCTCTACCACTATGGCTAAACTCTCCTTCGGCCCACTTCTTCTTCGGGCATACTGCAGACCACCTCGCACAAGTCGCTGTGGCAGCGCTTCCGAATGGCTTACGCAGGAATGAATGAATGGCTGGGCGCTGCCTCTTGATTTATACTTCTGTAACTCGTTGGTCTGCCGCTTTCCCATGCCCGTGGTGCACACAGTCCCATACGGTACTTGCTTGACTGGACTAGGACTGACTGGGACTGGGTACCGCTGACTCAGCACGGGTGGACTCCACCACTTGCCCACTTGCTTCTGGCCTACTGCGAGCAACGTGTGAAGGGCCACTTCCGGACCTTCCAGAAGTCTGTGGACTTGGCCCTTCGACACTGTAGCAGCTACGACCTTGACCCTCCAGGACTGTAGCAGCTACGACCTTGACATTTCAGAAGTCCTACAGCTACGACTTCTTGGACCTACTAAGACCTACAAACAACCGGTCTACAGCTCGAACCCCTACAACCTACGGACCTACGACAGCCTACTAACTGCTGCGGATACACAGGTCATGGGTTCAACTATCGGGGTCGGCACAGATACTGTACACAGGTAAGGTGAGGATTAGGGATCGAGCACTGGGATCTGCATCCGCGACTGCGAACAGGTGAATACCGTTTCACTCCCAACGGCCTAAATTCGAGGTCCTCCGAGAATAGCTTAGTCCATAGCAGGACCTTTACCCTTTTTTTCTCTTTCGTAAGCTCTAACTACGTCGGGAGCTGTTTCTAGAAGTTCAGCTCTAGTAAACCAGCGGTAATCATCGGGTTCCTAGTAAGCAAATCTGACTTTATACTGTTTCTGTGGGCGACCTCTACCTCCTGTTCTGAATACGTCTTCACCTACAATGCCCTCAATGTCATATCTTCCATCCATGTCCAGAGGGATCATGGATCTTCTTGACGGAAATCGTTGACTTGTGACACACGGCAACAACTTCGACGCATGGAACACAGGGTAGGTGTGCAGGTGTGCTGGGATCTCTATCGTATAGGACAGCCCATCCTCTCCGCCCTTAACCTCTAGAACTGACCATGGTCCTCTGTATGCTGGCAGTAGCTTTTGCGAAATGTTTCCTCAGGAGCAAACTCTTTGGACTTGACCTAGACTAAGTCGCCTACTTGAAACTGCGACGGGCGACGATGCTTGTTAGCCTGTTCTATCATTCGGTGTTGGGCCTTCCCGAGGTTCTCAATGACGGTAACTATCTCCTTTTCGTGTTGTATCACAAACTCCCTACTGTCGGGCAGTAGCCTATGAATCTGATCTCGGTTAAGTCCTTCAAACGGTCTGCGCGGTCTAAAGGATTTGTGCAACTCATTGGGAGTGTGACAGGTGGACAAGTGCACACTATTATTGTACGCACTGGCTGCCTTGGGCAACATCTCATCCCAATTGACTTGATCCGGTCTAATGGATGATGGCCAGATGACATCAGCAACTTTGACCAATACACTTTCATCAGTTCCTGCCAGTTTTGACTAGTGAACCGGGTGTCTCTATCGCTAACTATGGACAACGGAATACCGTGATCACTAACCCAATGATAAAAAAACTTTTGAATTACTAAATCAGTGCGTGCCTCTGCAGGCAACGGAACAAAGACTGCATATTTGCTAAATCTATCAACTATCACCATGACTTGGCTCTTGCCGTGCCTACTTTTGACTTGGGTATCCAGAAAGTTGATGGACACAGAGTCTCCTGGCTGGTCACAAATAGGCAAGGGCCTGAGAAGACCTAGAGGGCCACGCGTAGTAGTCTTGTTTCTCTGACATGCTTTGCAACTGCGGACGTACTCTATGCAATTGTTCTTCATTCCTAGCCAAGTATACGCCTGCGTCAGGTTGGCCAAAGTCTTTTGCCAACCGAAATGTCCCTCTGTATCATGGCGTTCCCCTAGGATCAGGCTACGGATC